TTTTTTTTTTTTTTTTTTTGGTAGAGTCAGGGTTTCGCCTTGTTGGCCAGGCTGCTCTGGAACTCCTGACCTCAGGTCATCTGCCAACCTCTGCCTCCCAAAATGCTGCGATTACAGGCATGAGCCACTGTGCCTGGCCTAAAAAAGCCTAGCTAAATTTATTAGGGGGCCACAACCCCTGATTTCCCAGCCCTCATACACACTCCTGTGTTTATTCAATACCTATTTATTTAGCAATAATGTGTTTTGGCTGAAGCAATATTCCAAGTGCTGTAAGCAACCAAGGAAAACAAGGCCCCTGTCATCAGAGCTCACATTCCAGTGGGGAGACAGAAGATAAATTCTCCCCCAGTGGACCCTGAGTTCTGTGAAGACACTGTTGTCGTCTCCAAGCCTAGTGCATGCAAAAGTACTTAATAAAGGTTGGCGTACTGAATGATTGAAGGATTGAAGAGCCAGTCTGGAGTTCTGAAAATTAAACCACAGCCAGGTGCAGTGGCTCACACCTATAATCCTAGCACTTTGGGAGGCCGAGGCGGGCAGATCACCTGAGGTTGAGAGTACGAGATCAGCCTGACCAGCATGGAGAAACCCTGTCTACTAAAAATACAAAATTATCTGGATGTGGTGGCGCATGCCTGTAATCCCAGCTACTCAGGAGGCTGAGGCAGGAGAATTGCTTGAACTTGGGAGGCAGAGGTTTCCATGACCCAAGATTGTGCCATTGCACTCCAGCCTGGGCAACAAAAGTGAAACTCAGTCTCAATTAAAAAAAAGAAAGAAAGATAAGAAAAGAAAAAAATGGGAAAGGACAAATCCTGAGGAACGTATATGATTGAGAGATGTCATGTATCCAGATCAAGACAAAGTTCTCTGGGGATTAGAGAATTTAGAAGCAGGTGCTCCCTGGATCCCAGAGGCACCTGGTGCTTGAACTTAATAAGATTTATAGGTGGCCAGGTGCAGTGGCTCACACCTGTAATCCCAGCACTTTGGGAGGCTTAAGCAGGCAGGTCACCTGAGGTCGAGAGTTGGAGAGCAGCCTGACCAACATGGATAAAACTGGCCTCTACTAAAAATGCAAAAATATCTGGGTGTGGTGGCCCATGCCTGTAATCCCAGCTACTCCAGAGGACGAGGCAGGAGAATTGCTTGAACCTGGGAGACAGAGGTTGCGATGAGCACAGAT